ATTTTAATTTCAGAAAATGATAATTAATAGTTAAAGGTCTTAAAAAATCATAATTTGTTTCGTTTGGTACCGTTTAAATAGTTATAATTTTATCTTTATTAATAAAGTAACAAACTGACAAAAATGCCAAATGGTGTTGGCCAAATCTAATAAAGTGAAGTCGAAAACAATTTTTTTTGATATTTTGGCGATAGATGGTGATAATTTTTAAAGCTTAATTTTGGCGGTAGATGGCGTTATTGGAAAAGTAAATTGGCGATTTCCTTATCAATAATTCTGGCAACACTGCCCGTCACCCGTACAAGTAACAGCTCGTACACACGACAGTTACCAGTCGGGCAGGCCGAACGAGTGTAGTCCAGGCGGTACACAGCCGATCACCAGTCATGACTCATGTTGCCGCCACGACAAACCGACTGTTCTTGGCGCGCGACATATTATACACTACGACTATACGGGTCATACAACCGGCGCAACACCACACGCGCCATACACACACACGCACACGCAAGAACGATCGGTGCTAATACCATACGATGACTTGCGCACCGCAAGGTCCTCATTACCCGAGTTCTCTGGAACAAGGGCTGATGATCCCGTTCGGTATATAGCGAATACCGAGTCGATTCTTGTGCAAGTAAACATACACCCCTCGGGTTGGTGCAGGGCGATTGAGTCGCAATTAAAAGGAACGGCGAGTACATGGTATGATTCTATCGGGGCACTCGACCTATCCTGGACAGAATTTAGGGAGGAATTCTATGAACATTTTTATAACCGAGTAACCTCGGTTAGGTTAGATTAGGTTAATTTACCTAGGTATAAATTTAAAAAAAATTAACGCAGTACTATTAGAAAGAATTAATGAGGAAAGAGACGTTCTACAACAATATTTAAATATCGATAAAAAATATAATGTAAACCCTAAGGACTATAGAACAAAACRAAGCTCATTTTTCGGGGGGATTGGAAAATTACAACGAGCCCTATTTGGAGTTTTGACTGARGAAGAGGGTGAAGAATACCAAAATAAAATTAGAATTTTGGAAGAAAAACAATTAAAAACACTTTTAATTCAGAAAGATCAAATTAAAATTTTTGAAAGTATTCTCGATTCAGTGACAACAATTTTGTCAGATTTTACTAAAATTAAAAATAATTTGAATGGCTATATAAATAAAATAAATTTCGAAGTAAATAGTCAAAAGGAAGAATTAAAGACAGTAAATATAAAGGAATATATTATGTTATATAACTCAATATACAATGAGCTTATCAATCAATTTTCAAAAGAAACTTCAATTTTATTAAACACAGTAATAACARCCCACAGAGGGCAGATAAATCCACAGATATTAAAACCAACTGAGTTATTAGATAAATTTAAAGACGTAAAAATAAATTTACCTTCAAATTTAAACATGCCAATTGAAATAAACATTAAAAATTACTTTGATTATATAAAAATTATAGAGTTAAATATATTTTATCAGAATAATTTAATTATTTATCCAATAAGTTTACACTAATAGAAAATCTAAATTTTAATTTATATCGTATCATTAGCTTACCGATAAACGTCAATAAGAAAAGGTTTATTTTTATACAATCCCCTGAAGAATATTTAGTCGTAGAAAATAATAAACAATACTGTACATTTTTTTCTCAAGATCAGGTGGACAAGTGTAAATATATTAAAATGAATACGATTTGCARTGTAAGTAYMCCGTTATCTAACGCAATTAAGCCGAATTGTGAATTCCAAATGTTTAAAAAGGGCAACACTATACCATCCAACTGTGAGGTTAAGACGATCAACATGGTCTACGATATTTGGCACCACTTAAAAAATAATAACCAATGGTTATATGCCACTCCTGAACCGATGGAAATAGTTATTAGTTGTGAAGAAGAAACAGAAAACATGATTATTAATCAAACAGGCCTATTATCCCTAAAAACTAATTGCAAAGCATTTACAAAAAAACACTCATAATTTCAAAATATAAAAACCAGTCATTTTTCAAAAGACTACTTACCTCCTTTCCATCTACCTAACTTCACCAAAAACTTAAATAAGATAATCATGAAACAAAATGTACCACATGATAATGTAGATACGATTGAAATACCCAGAAAATTCAATGACTTAAAACTTTATGCTAAAACACTTTCAGTTTTAAATAGAGAAATAGAAAATCTTTTAAGAGACAATGCTAAAGAAAAAACAACAAATATTCACTCTACCGGAATTACAGCATTAATAATAATAACAATAGTGGTAATAACATATAAAATAATTATATATGTAAAAAATAGGGGTAAAAAAACTAATAGCAAAACCAAGGATAAAGTCAATGTAGTATATCACGTGGATAAGAATAAAATACAAAAAGATAACAATATAGCAGTTGAAGAAATTGTCGAAACCTAAATATATTACGTGATAATTGATAGACGAAAAATTATAGTAAAAATCAGTGCAACTTGGTACCRGTTTATAATTAACTAAATTATGTAATACTTATACATTTATATATACATTAATTTTTGTTTTTCTTTGTAATGTTAAACTAAAAGTCGAGTTTCAGAAATAGCAGATGTCAAACACCAATTTAGCTGGGTTAATCAACCTAAAAGAACCAACAATATTCAAATTATTT